ATTTACGAATGTTTAGAAGCAATCAGGATGAGTAGTGGGGTAAAACCCAATTTACCCGCCCGGGTTTTAACCTACGTTTTACCCAAAGTGGAGGGTTTTAACCCAATTCTGCCCAAAATCGTGGGTAGAAACAACGAATACGAAATTTGATATAATTCCATACTTATTACAAATTTCGATGTAAAAAATCTTTTTAGACGAAAAAGAGGCATCTCCACACAACCCCACTTTGCAATCCTATGGATTCTCACCATTAAAAATGCACATTACGATTCGATTTTCATGAACATCGATTCAAGTGCATACGATCTAACGATATTTTGTATCGATTTATTTCAATGCGATTTTCAAGCGAATCGTTCAGAGCAAAAAGCAATAAACATTTCGTAATAATATCATTAAATTTGAACAAATACGATTTACAACAAATATTTACATGTAAATAGTTTTTGCCCTCGATTTCGGGCGTTATTGGGTTTTAACCCGATTTAATCCCAGCATTAACAAAGCGCTGGGTTAATACCTGGGCGCTTGCCCATCTCTGATAGTAATACCTCTCCCTGGCGATGAAGGAAAAGGTCTTGATGAAACCGGCATGAAGGTCTCCAAACATGTAATATGGCCTAAATCTTTACCTTAGACGAGATCAGCAGCTGTGGAATATATACATTATAATGAGTTAATGATGATAGTATTACTGCATGAAGGTTTCAACAATATATTTATGTATCAATAATTATCAAATATACGCGACTTATAGTATAGCACTATATGCTTAGTGTAAGTGATACATTTTGATGTTTCCTAACCATTACCGCCAGTATCAATATGTAGTGAAAAGGAAAATTACCAAAAAAGATAAAAGCCGGCGCAAAATCGTTGACAAAATTCGTGTTTCAGTATTCCACATGAAGTCAACGAGATTGTTCGTATATTACGCAACAACTCGTGACTCTTGTTACAAGAGACTCAGACTCCAAATGTAACAAAACGCGTTACGTTCATATACAAACTTGATCCGTAGTACCGTAGCATTAAGGGTGCGAGTTCAATTGCTGCACAGACAAATCGCTTCCTTATCTAAAGTGAATACTAACATGCTTTTTCTTGCACTTTTAGTGTCTCCGTAAATTATCACTTTATAACACTATAACTTCAAATAAATACGATGAATTGCTTCATAGTGTCTTGATTTTCCATTACTGCTTCAAGAATTACCTTCATTTCGTTTCATTGCGTTGGTTTGTTTTTGTTTTTTATCAAATGAGTTGAATTTCTATGTCATTATTAGCGATGTTGTTAACATTTAAATTTTGCTATTTAATGGGTACGTTTCAATCGACAAACGATTGCCTAGGTTTACCTATATTAGATTACTAACTCATATTTATTCAGATATCTCTTCACTAATCAATAGCACTGTGAATGAAAATGTTTCTTTCAATACATTGGCATGAGCTATTTTGTATTCATCTGACATTTAATATGATGCGACAACGTGGTTCAGAACATTTTTAAATTCTACAGCTATTGTTTTTTCGAGTTATTTACATTGGTCCATTATCTATTACATACCGTATTCTAAAATCGTTATTGAGTTTTATTCACAAATCGTTTCATACATTGTGCTTATTTGAAAATCGAAACATAACCCTATAAGTTTTTTTCAAATATTCTTATCATTGACGTCATTGAAAGTGTTGAAGGTATTCGTCACACTGTGATATATAGACAGAAGATATGTAACACATAGTCAACAATGTTTCACTAAAGAAGTATGTAAATTGTCTGTAATAAAACGGGGGTATTAATGAAAAAACAAGAAAGACATGCAAGCTAAGAGCCCGCGATGGAACCACGGTGTACACTGACGCAAAAAAACATTCATACACACACATACAGAGGAAAAAACACCGCAGATGTGCTCACACGCATCGTGGTCGAGCAAAAACGCGACGGCCGTGCTTGGGCCGCGTCTGGGCAACGTCATACGGAGCAGGTTTCTTATTGGATGTTTCTTTTATATTTTTCCTTTCGCACACGTTTTTAAAAGACTTTATTAGTACCTTAAAAGTTTCGCCATTTTGAAACATTATCATTTAATGATTTGTGTTCTTGAATTAAATTATAATTTGTTATTTTGAAGATTACTTTCACCTTTCTCTGTCGTTCACTTTTAAGATTATAACTTATAACTTCGTTTGATGTTCGGGTAGTCATACTGTAGATATTTCTTTAATTTAAGACTAGGTGATTAGTGTGATTATATGGCACATTATTATTATTATCTATCTTTTATTTTTCGGCTTCTGAACTGCATTCGCACTAACTTGTTTTTAATAACGTTTTAAGTGCTACTTATTAAATAAGGCAAGCACTAGTAGATAACAGTTTAATGGAGTGCCATTTGTGTACATTAGAGTGATTGTATATTTGATATTTGTTGTGTAACAGTAGTACCAATATTAGGAGATAAAGACCATTTTGTTCATTCAAATATAGATAGATATACTGATTTTGTCTAAATAACACATACAAAACAGACGCAATACTATTACATGAAGATAGTAACACACAACTTGTTACGCTTGGATGACGGCAAGAACCATAAAGTTTTTATTAAAATTTTATACAAAACAAACTTATTATATTATTTAAGGAAAAAAATAGTCCTTCATGTTAGAAGACGGATTAAAACCAGTTTTACAAATTTTAGTACCTAACGAAATGTCGTTACAGAAGGTCGACAATACGAAGAACTGACAATAAACTTCTGAGAGACTTTGCAAACGTATTCGTATTTAGTAGTCAATGTTTAACAATATAATTACTGCACTTAAAATATATCTACTTTTTGCATGCTAATTTTGATAAACTATTCTCAACAAAAAACACAAACTCCCAGCAAAAGAACCAAGTCTGGTCGACACCGGATTTCATAATAAAAACCGAATTGAAGTACATTAGTACCCTACAGGCATACACATGTCAATTGTTAGACATCACTTGAGACGTGAGAGCATTAAGTGATTTAATGAACTCAAAACTTAGCCGACAAAATGACTTACATAAAAGTGATTTTAATTACATTCCAAGTGATTACAAAGCCTCAGATGGAATGGAGCAAATTACCATAAAACTGCATTCACCAATCAAAGTCGCGGACTTGTAGGGCAGGTCATGGCTGCAAGCGTAAGCGTAAACGGATGTGCATATGCGATAATATTATCACAGTTTCATTTTGTTTGTTACTCTGAGAGCTGTTCGCGGCACTAATATTTGCTTTAAGTTTTTATCACTCTAATGTTTTCAGATGTCGTAATTCGTACAACGACTGTTTATTTGCAACTGTTTTAAATTATATATATTATGACTCGAAGTTGTGTAATTAATTAAACAAGGACGGTGAATAGTTGTGATCGGTTTCGCTGTAATGTAGTGTCTGGCCACTAGGAGTACCAGGCGAGCAGCGGATCGCGGCGGTGTCACGTTACGCGGTGGCTGTTGACACCAGCGCCTGATTAATATTTATGATACGGCTGAGCATCTCGCATGGCCGGTTCGCTCGCTCGATGCGAATTATCGCCGTCTCCTTTACACCTACGCAATTCTGCCGCAACAGATAGAGAGCACATTTGTACACATACGGCAACAGCTCTTCAGACATTAGTGCGTAAGTGCGAATGAGAATCCCAAATCTTAAAAAAAATTGTGTAGTCTTGTTTTTGCGCCCAGTTTTTTAGTTTGTTACGTTTAGACCTTGAAATTGTCATGCGGCAGTGCGATGTTTTGTTTAATGTGTGGATAGAATTAAAATCCGAATGCTTATCAATTTGATTCATAAATGGAATATTAGAGTGTATTGTTTGGACGTTAAAGTCTAAAATCATTGTTTAATAAATGCGTAAATACATCGAACCCGTTCGGGCCCGCTTGCTATTTTGTAACCATCGATTGGAGTAAGTGGAACGAGGCGTGGGACCAACGCCTCGAACCTGACCGTATCGAGGTATCTCAACCGGACAGACCTGACTTGACTGACATATAAAAAAAGTTCTGTGACTAAAGTGGACTATGCTGTTATAAAACATGCAATGTATTCGCAGAAAGTACAGAAGGTTATCATTGTATTCCCTTAATTGGCATTAAATGCCTCATTTGAGTTAGAAGAGCCATTTACAGGGAAGAGCTGTGAAACAAAGCGTAGTTTCCTTAACATGTTGACCTCAGTATTTGCCAGTAAAAATGACGTTTTATGTTCATTTGAATTACTCATTCAGTCCTTTATTAGTCATTTAAACAGTCTCACTTGTTCTTAATTGAAACGCATCCAAAACTGCTAGACTGATCTTTAGTATTATTACTTTAATTTTTTTTTGTAAAAATCTTCGTCTCTTTACTTTTGTAGAGAGAGTAGAAGTTATTTTACGCTCGATTTTGATATTATTGCGTTTTAAATTAGCTTTGCTCGGTGTTTAGCAACAATGATTTCTTTATTAAGTTTGATGCACGAAGCTCTCACGTTAACTGCACTATCATTGTGTTTGCGACATCATTATCGTTGTTTGTCTGAACATTTTCCGTGTGCTCGCGCGCCTCCAGCGCCGGCCGGCATTCGCGAGTCTTTTCTCCAAGGTCACGTTATCGTGCTATCGCCAACCATGAACCAAACCAAGGTTACTTAACCAAATCCACTTGAATATAATTCATGGCTGAATGCATTTTCTTCTCAACGTTAATTCCACAGTAGTATAAAGGCACCAGTACGTAATCTTACAGGAACTGAGCAATCTGGACGGTCGTCATGCGGAGTCTTTATCGTTAATTTGCGACCGCGAGTAGAGTCCCACTCGTTGCGGGCGTGTACTCTTGCTTTTAAGTAGCAATACCGCAATATTGTTTCAAATTAAATTAGCAGTGTGTTTACATTTTATAAATAGAGCGCATTCACGTGGCGCCGACGCAAGATAAGCAGCCAACGTCCCGTCGGCTTCACTCACCGTGCGCTGTTAACATCCTCCGCGGCGAAGTACAGGATCCTTCGTCACACAGACACTCGAGCGGGAACTTAAAACACTCACAAACGGCGGCACACGCGGGCGCGAGGACTGCACGGCGCGACACCCACAACTAGAATGCGGGCGAGAGTCGACGGCGGCGCGGGGCGCGGGGAGAGACCGGCAGCGACACACGGCTCATACGAAGGCGCGGCGATGAGGACTGCGGCCAGGCACGAGCACGATCTCCCCCATTGGTTGGATATGGCCTGACGTCACCGGCGCTAGCCAATGGCCGGATGGCGCATAGTTCCGCACAACACCGTAAGAGGCGCTTCGGGTGAGGAAGTCGCCCGCCCTACAGAGCTTTCTTCAGCTAGGGCGTGTGCTTTGCGGGCGGCAAGCTCGACGAAATCACGCCGCTTTGAAATATTCACAACGAGTTTATTATCTTTGTCGCTAAGGTACAAGTATATTGAACAAGGCTTGTTTGTATCTAGCTCAAAGCAAAGAAAATAATATTCGGGAAATAGTATTGAGAGCTTCACTTCCTACAAAAGTATGTCTTGGGCATGTGCCAAGGGGGGTTATTATACTACGCCATAGAATACATAAACATGTACACGCAAAATAATTACGACTGAGCCGATGGATATGAAGGGCACGTTTCTGAGGCTGCGGGAGAATAAGAGATCTAGTTTCAAAGAAGGTTTAGAAGGTAGGAAAACCAAGAGAAGTGCGTAGGTTTCATGGAAAACACAGTGTAATTTCATAAAGGAAAAGCAATTATTAATTTCGCTCCGCATTAAAGACAAAATTAAGTACAGTTAATTGATTATCTGTGTCGTAGGTATGTGTTATAATTTTTGACCGAAACCAAGTAGCAAAACAACTTATAGAAAACGCGTAAACATAAACGCATCGATAAATATAGTACTTAAAATAAAACTATTGACTTGAATAAATCACATAATGAAAACTTAAGTTAGAAAAGTAAGTTTTCAAGAGTTTTCTTAATTAGAAATATTGATCCACTTGGTGAGCATCGTCTGTTAGGTTTTTAATTACTTATACACTTCTCATTCTACCCATTTACTTTAGTGAAAATTTAAAAACAAACAAAATATTTCTCGATGTCTTGGAGAAACTTAATTCATGTATTAAGAGATTTGTCATTAGAGTCAGCAGTAAACAAAACCCTTAGTATTGCCCAAGGGAACGACAGCTGTCTCCAAGCCTCATGCCGGCAATTAAGATTCTCGTACTAAACGCCGTAAGAATCTTTGAAACAAATCTCCTGAAATCAATTCTAATAAGAACAACATAAGAGCCAAATTCTCTAAGCAAAATTTCGCATTTTAACCCACGTTTTCTTGAGATGTCCAGAAACTTCTTGACGGTAAATAGAATCTAAAAAAGACAAGGCTAAGTTCTATTTTAGCGTGTTTGCTAAGGCTTAAACGACATATACAGGAAATTAAATAGGAGATTTAAGACATCACGTTCGTACACTTATCAGTATTAATGTTCACTATAATGTGTACGGTATTTCGTTCTTGTATATTGTAATGAGTTTTACCTTTTAGTTCAACTTTTTCTTACTGTGGTTTTGCGTCGTTGAGACTACAGTATCATTTTAAATTGTCTTCACCAGGAGGGTAATGTTTTTCAGGTATGAGTGTATGGAGATCTATTATTTTGCTCGTCCCGTAGTCTTGAGTTGAGATTAGATTTGAGTGAACGAACTATCATTAGAATTATGTCAAAAACATCTATATGACGGTTACAATATTCTTTTATCTTAAGATATGATACTACAGATAGAACTGCCACAATAAATGTTAAATGCACCATGACGTATCATGGTGCATTTAACATTGCTCCAAAACGGCCCTAAGAGACCATTTTTCTCTTTTCAGTTTTTTTCTTTAGTTTTTTTTTTAATTTGATTGAATAACAGAATAAAACTACGTAAATCACTTTTCCCAATACACATTATAACAATATTCTATTATCTCTCGAAACTGCCATAAGAAAACATTTCATGGTGTATTTAATATTGCTCCAAAAGCAGCCTAGATATTCTTATTCTCTGTTCAGTTTTTAGAGCAGTCAGGTTTTTCTGTAGTTTATTAATTTAATTTCATTGAAGACAAAATACAGATACAGCGCTTTTCAATTCCGCTTTAAAAATTTAAAGACATGATTACGAAGACATGGTAATCTGCGTTAAATTGAAACCTATTTTCGTGTATAAAGGTATACTTGTGAATTAATTAAATGTTCCTTATGCTGAAATTCAAATTATACAGCTTCAATACACAAAGATAATTTGTTAGATTATAGTAATAAGTTAAGTGTGAAACACACAGAGAGCGGGTGTGGGCGCGTCAGGCGCGGGTCGGGTCGCGACCGCAGCGGGTCTAATTCCGTGTATTTATATGGACGACAACAAACCGAGCGCGGGCGACTGTGCCCGTCTTGCGCCGCGGTCCCGACCCGACCCGCACCCGCTCTCTGTGTGTTTCATGCTTTACCGAGAGGTCGGTATCATTATACCATTACCTATATAATATTGAATATCCATGATTCTCATCATTTTTCCAACCAAGAAAAGACGCTACAAATAAAAAGATTATCAAATTCTAACCTGCAACTTGCAATTGTTATCTAATAAGCCATTCCTTTAATTGCAACTTTAGTACATCATAGATTTCTGAAATTTTCACCTTCCATACACGTGTTCTTTCTCATAGCTTCCTTGATGTACATTATTAATTATTGATGACTGTTTACTGCCTGTCTGTCGGTTTCTTTGTGTAATTATTTCACTTGGTGAGTATTGCTGAATAGGGGTATTATTTTAATCGTTTCGGCACGTATTAAATTGGTTTTATGACTAGCGCTATTTTTGGTATATAGGTACATGTACTGAAAATAAATGGTTGAAATAAGTGAGATGTTGTCCAATGCTTGTTAACTTGTTTCCATTTGCGCCTATCAGGCACAATGATTGCTCTTTATAAATAAACATTTGTACACATTTGTTTATTTACAGCTAATTTCTTTGAAGGACAAGGTACGGAACGAGGTTATTTGACAGAGAACTAAGGTAGTCGACATAGCTGGCAGAATAAGCAAGCTGAAGCGGCAGTGGCCTGGCCATATATCGAAGAATCGATAACCGATGGGGGAAGCGATCTTAAGTGGGGACTACAGCTGGCAAACGTAGTGTGCGACGCCCTCTGGCCAGATGAAGTGACGATTTGCGAAGGGTTACTGGCAGCAGATGGATGTAATGAGTTGAAGATCGTACGAAATTCATTCGGAGAGGCCCATGTCCTGCAGTGGTCTACGATAGGCTATTGATGATGATCATTTACAATATTTACTTCATATATCATAGATCGCAATAATCTGTAAGAGCAAAATGGGTCCATACCACGGATTTTTGTCATCCAATTACACAGAAACTGTATAATAGTAACATTTAGTATAATAAAGTTTATACTTCACTGTAGTTTTGAATATCAATAGGATTCTTATTAAAGAAGAGTATACATTGCTTCTTAAAAGAAATTGTGACTTTGTGAATGCGACTGTCAAGAACAGTATGTTGTGATTGAAATTTATAAATGAGTTATTATAAATATTATTTATATTTATCAAATTGTTAGTTTTTCGCGATTGTTACACATAGTCTGTGAGCATGTCATGGATAAACCTACACATTCAATGACATTTGATAAACCCCAGGTCATAGCAAAAGAAGTCCGTTATCTACCCAGGATGCTGCGAGAGGCCATTGAAATTAAAAAACATCCTAATTTCATCAGGGAACATGGTTTCTCCGTACCATCAGTTTGGGATCCAGTATTTCCTCTCATGAAAAACCCCAAACGGACATAAGACTACAGTACTAATTAATATGTTTTAATTTATTCTAATTTCCATTATTAATTAATAATAAATTTAACTTAATAAAAATTCATATTGTTAAAATAAAATAATTTGTAAAACATAATGTAGCGTAAATTGGAATGTTGCTTTGTAAAATTAAAAATAAGGTATTTAATTAATAACTTTTGTAGGTGGTTTGCATTAATATTAGACATAACTGGTTGATGATTGTACCACATCAGTCGACTGTGACCGTGGGACCTGTAAAGGGTCCGAAACGTTGGTTTGTTTGAAAAAATAAATATACGCGATTTAAATCCGGAAAAATAATTTCATTTCATATTATTTATATTTGTAATATTCTCCTATAAGAGCGCATACAGTATGAAATTGCCGCTCTATATGGAAGAATATGAACAAAATAGCCCACTTTTTATCGTTAAAACTTTGGTCCTCCACGAGATTTATGCCAAGTTAAAAAATCGTCGGACAATCCGAATTCTAAAATTCTATTAAAAGATTTTATTAAAACAGTGATCCAAATCGTACACAAAAAAACTTTATTTAATTGAAGTGGTCAGAGCTCTTGAAGGGCATTTTTATTTTGTAACCTCTAATATAAGTACTTTCGACTATAACGTACCAATTAAAAGCAGCCATGTGTCTTAAATCCCTTTAATGTCTTAACTATCTAAATAAGTTATAGTAATTAAGTAGATTCATGATGTCTTTGATACGGACCACCCTGCGATATATCTGTCAAGATAAAGACAGGAGGGTACAAAATTACACGTAAATGTCTTTATATTTCAAATGAATATTTCGATGGTATGATCTACATTATTATATTTTATGAAGCCGTAAAGCGCCTAGTGAAAATATTCGTCCAAAGAAATACAGGTACCACGCTATTTCCGCCGTCCAGCAGTGATGTGAGCATTACTGCGTTCCGGTTTTTGAATGGTAAGGGAGTTGGTGAAACTATAGGTACATGGGCCTTGATAACTTTGTCTTAAGGTGACAGGTGCAGTGGCAGTGCCCCCTCATATCTTTACGATTCTTAAATCTCGGACATTTGGCTGCGAGGGTCGTATTCCAGAACTCTACTTAATGCTCAAGTCAGGACTTGAGAATGATTTAAAGCACTAGAACAACTATTAGGGTCGTATTTCCAATGCTTGAAATCATACTCAAGTCTTGACTTGAGCATTGAGTAGAGTTCTGGAATACGACCCTAAGTGGCACTGCAATTGTTCATATTGCTTATCACTAGACATTGTTCGTCCCGTCACTTGATATCATAAAAAA